CCCAGAAGGAGACACTTTAAAATGCTCGATTGCAGGTTATGGGAACTGAACCCCAAGAAAAACAAACAAGCCAGGAGCTGACGGTAGGCCTCGGCCCCTGGGAGTGACCTCGTGACCGGACGCCAGTCCGGCCAGCTGACGGGAGACGTCTGCCCGGCACACCCCAGATTGCTTAACGGTGTGCTCTGCGGATTGCATCAGCCAGATGGAAACAAACAGCAATAGCCCAGCCGGGTGGGGCTCAGGGGCGGAGCCTTGACCTACGTATGAACCGGGAGGTCAGGGTTCGATTCCCAGTCAGGGCACGTGCCCCTGCTGTGGGCTCCGTCCCCAGGGTGGGGCGTGCAGGAGGCAGCCGGTCGACACATGATTCTCCCTCGTCATGGACTCATTGATGTTTCTCTCTCTCTCTCTTCCTCTGCAATTGATTTCAGAGAGGGAGGGAGAGAGAGTCAGAAACATCGATGAGAGAGAAACATCCATCAGCTGCCTCCTGTACGCCTCCTACTGGGGATGTGCCCGCAACCAAGGTCCATGCCCTTGACCGGAATCGAACCCGGGACCCCTGAGTCCGCAGGCCGACGCTCTATCCACTGAGCAACACCGGTTAGGGCCCGAGTTGTTGTTTTGCTGTTGTTGTTTTTAATATATAATTGATTTTTTAAATATATTTTATTGATTTTTTTTTTACAGAGAGGAAGGGAGAGAGATAGAGAGCTAGAAACGTCGATGAGAGAGAAACATCCACCAGCTGCCTCCTGCACGCCCCCCACCGTGAATGAGCCCGTAACCAAGGTCCATGCCCTTGACCGGAATCGAACCCGGGACCCTTCAGTCCGCAGACCGACGCTCTACCACTGAGCCAAACCGGTTTCGGCTATAATAGATTTTTTTAATGAAGAAATAAACATTCCTGAAGAAATACTAAGCAATTTTATTTTCTTTTGTTCTATTTATTATAATAGATTTTTTTTTAAATTGATTTTGGAGAGGAAGGGAGAGATGGAAACATCAATGATGAGAGTCATGGATTAGCTGCCTCCTGCACACCCCCCACTGGGGATGGAGCCCACCGCCCGTCATGTGTCCTGACCGGGAATCGAACCCTGACCTTCTGGTTCCTAGGTGGAACCACTGAGCCACACAGGCTGGACTAAAAATATATTTTTTTAAAGGGGAGAGGGGGGTTGCTGGTCAGAAAAGTGTCTCTAACTGGGCCTGGGGTGGGTGGGGCAGGGGAAAGGGGGATCCTGGCTGAGGGGAGAGGAGGGGAGGGAGGCGGGACTGGTGAGTGACAGCTCCGCTCAGGCTGGGTGGACGGGGGCGGGTGGGAGGGGCCTGTGTGTCCAGCGGCCGGGGAGTGGCAGCAGGTGCCAGGCCGGGGCACTGGATGGGGAAATCGCTGGGCTCCTCCGGCCCGGCCTGATTCCATTCCCCCGCGGCCCTTATCGGCCTTATCATCGCGGCACAGGTGTGCTCCCCGCAATTAGGACCCACACGCCTGACTCATGACCCAGAACCCTCAGGCTCCTTCCCCCTGCGGGCAGGGAGGCGGGAGGCCCAGCTCACGCAGGGGGCAGGGGCAGGGGCAGGGGGCAGGGGGCAGGGGGGCAGGGGGCAGGGGGACAGGGGGCAGGGGCGGGGGACAGGGGCAGGGGGCAGGGGGCAGGGGGACAGGGGGCAGGGGTGGGGGACAGGGGCAGGGGCAGGAGGACAGGGGCAGGGGGACAGGGGCAGGGGCGGGGGACAGAAACAGGGGCAGGGGCAGGGGGACAGGGGCAGGGGACAGGGGGACAGGGGCAGGGGGCAGGGGGCAGGGACAGGGGGCGGGGGCAGGGGGCAGGAGCAGGGGCAGGGGGCAGGGGCAGGAGGACAGGGGCAGGGGCAGGAGGACAGGGGCAGGGGGCAGGGGGCAGAGTCAGGGAGGAGGGGCAGGAGGACAGGGGCAGGGG